CAACAAGTAGATTAAAAGGAGTTTCCAACTAAACATGATGTAGAATTTCCTGATTACAACAACTGTTTGACAGTGAAGTGGACTAGTTCAGAAAGCATGAAACAGTCTGTATGTCTGTGTGAACTTACAAGACTCGCTAGCACTATGAGTCTATGCCAGGCATGGGCAAACTTCAGCCCTCTGGGTATTTTGGACTTCAACTCCCACAATTCCTAACAGCCTTGGGCCCTTTCCTTTTCCCCCTCAGCCTCTTAAGAAGTCCAAAACACCTGAGGGGTCAAAGTTTGCCCAAATACCAATAAAAGGAAGTAGGTCTGTAAGACATTAGTTTTCCAGTGATTGGTGCAACATCAAATTTGCACATAGGGTGACTTCAGGCCCAGAGTCAATTGAATATGACAATATTGCACTGTGATTACAGTGCCAGGTTAAGAATGTATAAATTTAAATTCAATTTTCAAGCCAGTAAACCAGTGAGCCAGTGCATTTCTCTCAGCCTAACCCATCTCACTGGGCTGTTTTTAAGTATTTTAGTGGAACGTAGGACACCTTCTAAGCCACCCTCAGTTCCTTGAGGAAAAAAATAACAAAGAAAAAAAATCAATGAATGGATAAAGTGAACAGTGAAAATATCTGGACTACAATTAGCGTACAATGACGCAAAGAGAGAGGAAAAGCTAAGATTCGGGTGTTTCTATTGACAGGCTTATTAAAGAACTAATTATTATGGTGCTGGAATGTGTCCAGAGAAGGGTGACTAAAATGATGAAGGGTCTGGAGAAGAAGCCCTATGAGACACGATAGCCATGTATAAATATGTGAGGGGAAGACACAGGGAGGAGGCAAAAGGCTTGTTTTTTGCTGCCTTAAAAACTAGGACGTGGAAAAATGGCTTCAAATTGCAGGAAAGGAGATTGCACCTGAACATTAGGAAGAACTTCCTAACTGTGAGAGCTGTTCAGCAGTGGAACTCTCTGCCCCGGACTCTGGATGCTCCTTCTTTGGAGGCTTTTCAACAGAAGCTGGATGGCCATCTGTCAGGGGTGCTTTAAATACTATTTTCCTGCTTCTTGGCAGGGGGTTGGACTAGATGACCCACAAGGTCTCTTCCAACTCTATGCTTCTATGAAAACTCTAACAGCATTTCAAGGGACCATCACTCTACTGCACAGTAGTCCCCTCCAGGGAAAAAATCCTTTTTATGGGTGCAACACCAAAGGGGGTAGACAAAAAAGAAAGCCTCTGCTTTTGACAGTGTCACACAGAATGCACTCTCATTGGATGACCAGTAACCTTGTTCTCAGAAAAGAGTTTTACACAATATTAAACTAGGGAAAGAAAAGATGCTTAAAGGATGAAAGAACAGTGATTCCTGTTGTCGGGTTACCACTTTAGAAACAACAGCTGCACAAAAGGTGGAAAATGCAAGAACTGAAACTTAATGAGCATCCAGTCTCTTTGCGTCTTCATGTCAACAAAAATTACTCCATTTCTGTGGCAAAAGGAGGACATGGATCTCCCAATGGGAACCTTATCTTAAGAAAATTCTCAGGGACAATTTCTCTCTTTTTTCCCTTTGCCTCTCTTCAGATATACGAAGGAGCCCCCAGTGGCACAATGGATTAAACTTTGTCCGGCAGGACTGCTGACCAATAGGTCAGTGGTTCGAATCCAGGGAGAGCGGGTTGAGCTCCCTCTGTCAGCTCCAGCTCTCCCTGCAGAGACATGGGAGAAGCTTCTCACAAGGATGGTAAAACATCAAACATCCGGGCATCCCCTGGGCAACGTCCTTGCAGATGGCCAATTCTCTCACACCTGAAACGACTTGCAGTTTCTCAAATTGTTCCTGACTCACACAAAAAAAGCTATACAGAGCGAAGTGCTCTCTTCCCACAAAAGATTAAGCTGCTTCCTCCCTTGAAGTAGTAATACCTTCCTCGCTTTCCTTCACTTCATACTAAAATATTTGCAGGTATCAGTGCAATAGCAATGCCTTCCTTTATAAGATTTCATCCAACAATGAAGAAAGGGAGAGCACGCAGCCTAAAGCAAGAACACTTCTCTGTCCTAAGGGATGCATACAAGTTAATATCTCAAGGGCAAGGATGTTGGGGATTAAGTGTCAGCCACCACTATCATTTCACAATTGAAACCAAAGTTGTTTGCACCTCTCTCAATGAAATATAAATGCCTCAACAAGAGCAGCAGAGAACGCAATGAAAATACGCAATTTATTCATTCATATTTTCCCACGACAGAATCATTGAGTTGGAAGATCCCAAAAAGACAATCTGGTCTCAACTCTGACAGCTGAAACAAACAGAGCTAATACCCCAAATTGCTAATATGGGTTAGATTAGATTAGATGCATGGTTTGTACTGAAAGAAATACTGCCAGCAGATTTGGAAATCTGGAACAAAACACTTTTTCATGATTGTTCAAATTAGTCAATTGGTGGGAAATGATGCCACAAAAACAAGGTAGATTAGCTATGTGATCTATAGAGAACTGTACCTCCTATGTCCAGAGACAGTTATATACCTTTAAGCTGCTTTGAGTCCCCTTCGGGGTGAGAGAAAGCAGAATATAAATATAGTAGTAAATACTAGCTAGTAGTAAACAAATACCTCTCCCAACTGCAAAGAGCAAGAAACATTATTGATTTTAGGCATTATTCACTGACATCCTATGGACATTGGCTATGATTGGGGAAGACGAGGGTATTAGACTGGCTGGATGGTTCAATGCAACAGTGAATGCACCTGCACTGGTGAATTAATGCAGTTTGACACCATTTTCACTGTCAGGGCTCAATGTTATGGAATCCTAGGAGTTGTTATTTTACAAAGTCCTTAGCCTGACAAAGAGGAATGGTGTCTCGCCAAAATACAACTCCCGGGATGTCATACCATTGAGCCATGGCTGTTAGAGTGGTGTTAAACTGCATTAATTTCACAGAATCTATAGATCGATAAACTTGGGCCCTCCAGGTATTTTGGACTTCAACTCCCACAATTGCTAGCAGTCTCAGGCCTGAGGCTGTTAGGAATTGTGGGAGTTGACATCCAAAACACCTGGCACGATAGTGTTAGGAATTGTAGGAGTTGATGTTCAAAACACCTGGAGGGCCCAAGTTTTCCCAGGCCTGATCTAGAGCAAACATGGCACACAAACTCATCATGATCAATTCTAAAGACTGGTAAAAGAGGATGATGTGAGCTGTAGTCCACCCACATCCAAAGACCATGTGTACCTGACATACAGAAAGCCCTGTCTGTTTCTAATTGGACAGTTCATAACACCCAAAACCAAAAAATGACACTATGAAATAGTGATCATTACAAAATCCCTAACCTGGGCATTGCCTGGTACCTAAGCTTGTGTATGATTCAAAAGAGTTTCGAAGTTATTTTGGAAGGCAACTCCCCTTTTCCTAGCAGCCATTAGGAGTTGTGGGAGTCCAAAACACCTGGAGGGCTGAAGTTTTCCCATGGCTAGTCTATAGGATACTGGAAGATGCATTCCAGAAAAGAAACTTTCCTCAACTCTGTGAAAGAAGGAGGAGGGGAGGAAAGTGACAGTAGAGGAGGTGAAGCGGCAAAGGCAACAGGTAAAGCATCAGCATCAGGAACCACTCGTTCCATCCAGACCAAATCCACTTCCTTCCTGGTTTGTAGGCAAACCTCAAGTTCCTGGCTGCTCGCTTTTTTTTTTTTTTTTGCAAGTGCATCTCCAACATGGAATGAATGCAGTGTGACACTGTTTTCATTGTCAGCTCTATGGAAGCCTGGGATGTGTAGTTTGGAGAGACACCACCACTCTTGGGCAGAGAAGGCTCAAGACCTGGTATGGGCAAAGGAGCCCTCGGGTATGCAATGGGTTAAACTGCTGACTCTAAAGTTGGGTTGTTGACTTGAAGGTTGCTGGTTTGAATCCAGGGAGAGTGCAGATGAGCTCCCTCTGTCAGCTCCCGCTCCATATGGGGACATGGGAGATGCCTCCCACAGGATGGTGAAACATCAAACATCTGGGCATCCCTTGGGCAATGTCCTTGCAAGAGGATCAATTCTCTCACACCAGAAGCCACTTGCAATTTCTCAAGTCACTCCTGACACAAAAAAATGGACAAACTTCAGCCCTCTGGGTGTTTTGGACAATTTGTCCCTCCTTCTTTGCCCTTTCTTGCTATTTCTTCCTCTTTCTTTCTCTCTCACCCCTTCTCCTTCTATCCCTCCCTCTCTCCTCCTTTTTTTCTTTCTCTCTCTCTCATTCCCTCTCTCTATGCTTCCCTTCCTCTGGCTTTCTTTCTTTCTCTCCTTTCCTCTCTCTTCCTTCTCTCTCTCTCATTCTTTCTTTCTATCTATCCCTTCCTCCTTCCTCCTTTCTTTCTCACTCCCTCTCTCTATGCTTCCCTTCCTCCCTCTCCCTTTCTTCCTCTCGTTTTCTCTCCTTTCCTCTCTTCCTTCTCTCCCCTCTTTCTTTCTCAGTTTTTCTTTCTATCCCTCCCTCCCTTCCTCTCTCGCTCTTTCTTTCTTTCTTTCTTTCTTTCTCTCTCTCTCACTCACTTCCTCTATACTTCCCTTTCTCTGGCTTTCTTCTTTTCTCTCCTTCCCTCTCTTCCTTCTCTTCATCTTTCTTTCTCAGTTTCTCTTTCTATCTCTCCCTCTCTCCTCCTTCTCTCTCTCCCTTTCCCTCTCCCTCTTTCTTTCTCAGTCTCTCTTTCTACCCCTTGTGGGAGATGAAGTCCAAAACACCCGGAGGGCCGAAGTTTGCCCTATGCCTCCTCAAGACCTTGCGAAGTTATCACTCCCGGGCTAATTCACGGCAGTTCAGATGGGGTCAAACGGCATTCATTCCACGGTGGAGATGCGCCTGATTCTGGCCTCACGCTCCCGGGGCGCGTGGAAGTAGTGACCCCCCCCCCCTCTCCCTCCCTCCCCGCCGCCCTGGGGGCCCGCGATGGGGTGCGGCGGGCTTGGCTGCTCCCGGCGCCGCTTACCTAACCCGGGCACGAAGGTGTTGAGGAAGAGGCAGATGACGGCCACCGGGAAGGGCATGTAGGGGATGGCGGCGCGGAGGGGGCCCTTCTTCTCGCGCACCTGCACCACCACGCCGGCCCCCGCCCCCGCCCCCGAGGAGCCCCCCGGCCCCGCCGCCCCCGGGCCACGCTCGCCCTCCTTGGGGGCAGACTCCATGGCGGCGGAGAGAGAGGGCCAGGGGATCCCCGATCTCCCCTTGCCCTAGCCCGAGATCTCCCTCCCTTGCCCTCCCTTGCTGTCCCTTCCTCCCTCTCCCTTTCTATCCTCTCTTTTCTTCTCCCTCCCTCTTTTCTCTCTTCCCCCTTACTATCTCTTCCTCTTCCTCTCTCTCACTAACTCCTTCTCTTTCTATCCCTCCCTCTTTCCTCTCTTTCTCTCACTCCCTCTATGCTTCCCTCCCTCCCTCCCTTTCTCTTTCTATCCTCCCTCTTTTCTTTCTCTTCCCCCTTTCTTTCTATCCCTTCCCCACGCACACGCACACTCCTTCTCTCAAAGCTTCCCTCCCTCTTTCTTTCTGTCCTTCCCGCTCTCTTCCTTCTCCTCCTCTTTTCCTTCTCTCCCTCTTCCTTTCTCAGTCTCTCTTTCTATCCCTCCCTCTCCTATCTTTCTTTCTCTCTCCCTCCCTCTCGCTTTCTTTCTTTCTCGCCTTCCCTCTCTTTTTCTTCTCTCCCTCTCTCCCTCTTTCTTTCCCTCCCTCTAGCCACCTTTCTCTCTGTCTCTCTATGCTTTCTCTCTCCCTCTCACTTTCTTTCTCTCCTTCCCTCTCTCTTCCCTCTCTCTTTCTTTCTCAGTCTCTCTTTCTATCCCTCCCTCCCTCTCGCTTTATTTCTCTCCTTCTCTCCCTCTTTCTTTCTCGGTCTCTCTATCCCTCCCTCCCTCTCACTTTCTTTCTTTCTTTCTTTCTTTCTTTCCTTCCCTATCCTTTTCTTCTCTCCCTCCCTCCCTTTTCTCTCTCCCTCTTTCTTTCCCTCCCTCTACCCTTTCTTTCCCTCTGTCTCTCTATACTTCCCTTCCTCCCTCTAGATTTCTTTCGTTCTCTCCTTCCCTCTCTTCCTTCTCTCTCTCTCTCTCAGTCTGTCTTTCTATCCCTCCGTCCCTCCCTTCCTCTCCCTCTTTCTTTTTCTCCCTCTCTCTTTCTGTCTATCTCCCCCCCCCCCTCTCTCTCTCTCCTTTTCTCCCTCTCTTTCTCTCCCCTATCTCGCCCCCCCCCCTTCTATCCTTTGGAGTTGACTAAGGAGGCGCCTCCTCCTCCTCCTCCTCCTCCTCCTCCGCCTTGAGGCGAGGCGGCGCCCAGCTCCTCGTGCGCCCTCCTTCCCTCCCTCCCTCCTTCCTTCGTTTCTTCCTTCCTTCCCTCGGGTTCGCTCTCTTCTCTCTCTCTCTCTCTCCCGTGCGCCCGACGAGGGGGGTCTCTACTGCGCAGGCGCCTTCCCTCCCTTCCCAGCCCGAAGCCTGGGGGGTCCAGACTCGCCTCGCCCCCTCCTTCTTCCCCAGGAATGTCCGCTCAGGAGCAGAGCGTCCCTTGGAAGGGACCCGTCCCTCTCCGCCTCCTCCTCCTTCCTCCCCGTTTGAGATTTCCCGGCTTCTGAAGTCTCCCCTGGCATCAACTATTTGTCAAAACAAAACAAAAAAAAGGAAAGGAAGGAAGCAACAGGGTAGATCTGGCCTGGGCAAATTTGGGCCTTCCCTTCAGGTTTTGTGGACTTCAGCTCCCACCATTCCTAACAGCCTCAGGCCCTTAAACGGCTGAGGGGGGAAGGAAGCGACCTGAGGCCATTACGAATGGGAGTTGAAGCCCAAAACACCTGAGGGCCCAAGTTTGTCCAGGCCTGGGGAAGATGGAAGCGGGGAAGACGCTTCGGAGAGGAGGACCTATGGATTGCACATCAGCCACCGCTGCAAATTGTCACTTTCGACACCGCCGCATCTTAAGCTGGGACTTCTAACCCCTTCACTCAATGTTGGGGTCACCAAAAAAATATTGACAGTAAGAGGGTCATGAACACCAGCCATTTACACAAAACTGTTGGCAACAATTTGGGCTGTTGGCAGGAAACTGCGGAAGATACTTCAGCTCTACACAAAATGAACCATCACCTTACAGGAAGTCCCCGAGTTTCAAACATCCTACTTACAAACAACTCACCCTTGTTAAGAAGGGGGAGTGAGAAAATAGAAAGTCTCACCGTGTTTCTTAACAGGGTTGAGTCGTTTGTAAGTAGGATGTTTGAAACTCAAGAGACCTTGGAAGGGAAATATTCTCTTGGAAGAGTTATCATGGGGGAAAGGTATCTCCACTGAAGCTTTCTCACCAATTCTTGCTTCTACAACAAGCCACATTTTGCAAAACCCAATAATCACAGGGACAGAAAGGGAGATGAAATCTTCTGAACAGGGTCAGAGACAGCAAAACAAACACCACAGGTGTGTTAACTCTTCCCTATACTATGCAATCCGCAGCCAGAAAATCAGAAGACGTTTACTTCTTGGGAAGAGAGCAAAGACCCCTCTCAGTAAAATAGTGAAGCGTAGAATCACACTGGCAACGAAGATCCGTGTAGTTAAAGCAATGGTATTCCCCACAGTAACCTATGGATGCGAGAGCTGAACCATAAAGAAGGCTGAGCAAAGGAAGATAGATGCTTTTAAACTGTGGTGCTGGAGGAAAATTCTGAGAATGCCTTGGACCACCAGGAGATCCAACCAGTCCATACTTCAGGAAATAACGCCTGGCTGCTCATTGGAGGAAAGTATATTAGAGTCAAAGAGGAAGTACTTTGGCCACATAATGAGAAGACAGGAAAGCTGGGGGGAAAGGAAGGAAAAGGAAGAGGGACCAACCAAGGGCAAAACAGATAGATGCTGTCCTTGAAGTGACTGCCTTGACCTTGAAGGAGCTGGGGGTGGCAACAGCCGATGGGGAGCCTGGCATGGGCTCCTTCATGAGGTCACAAAGAGTCAGAAGCAACTGAATTAATAACATACTATCCAAAGCTTATATATATATATACACACACATACATACAGTGTTCGCTCGCTACTTTGTAGCTTGCTTTTTGCGGACCCACTGTTTTGCGGATTTTTGCCTCCTGGCAACGATGGAGTGTGGAAGGGGGTTTTACCCTCCCCCTCGGGAGAGAGGCAGCCAATCATAAAAGAGAGAGAGAGGAGATACAAAGCAGTATGTAAATCACAGCCTTATAGCCCCTTCCTTAAGCTAGAAAAAAAGGTGGGCAGTGCCTTTAAATCTCTCCTCATTTCTGCCTCACCTTTGGAATGTGAAATATGTTTGTGTGTATATGCATATGTGTGTGTGTGTATATATATATATATATATATACCTAGAGAGAGAGAGAGAGAGAGAGCATCCGTACTTCATGGATTTTCACTTTTCTCAGGTGCTCCTGAAACACCCGCGAATGAGGGAACACTGTATGTAGATAGATAGATAGATAGATAGATAGATAGATAGATAGATAGATAGATAGATATAGATAGATAGATAGATAGGCTGGAGCTACATTTAAAATGTACCTGTTCCAAGTTACATTCAAATTTAGTTTAAGAATAAATCTACAAAACCTATCCACTCCTTGGGGACTGGCCAAACCTGGGAAACGGGATGGCAGTGAAAAGGGTTGTGGTCAGTGTTTACACCAGCCCAAAGTTGGGGGAATACTCTGAATTCTCTGCCAGAACTTGGACTATCCCTTGACTCTGGTTAACATGGGTCAAGGTGGTCTTCAGGTGGCCTTGCCTGATGTTACCCCAGATCAGTTCTGTGTGGCATTAGGCTACCACAGAGCTGATCCACATCCTTTCTGCATTAAGTGGTCAGTGTAGATGTGCCCTTTGTAACTCTCCCGATCAGGGTTTAATGTTGATATATATTTAGCCTTGTGTGTTTCATTTTGACTGTTTAAGAAAAGAACCTGGCTGCTTGAGAACACAAATGTTTCATTTTTCTTTTGCAGGAAGGTCAATGTCTGTTTGGATAATAATTGCACACTCTTCACCTTGGAGCCTGTAAATGCTAACAAATTAAACAGCATTGGGTTAGAAGAGAGAAATTGAAGTTACAGTATGTTTTGCAGAAGGATTTAACAGTGTTACAAAGATGTTCCTAAATATACTATTTGCTCTAGCGTAGAATGCATGCTTTTGCTGGCATATTTAAAACACAATTTCTGTTAGTCTTGGCCCACCCACACTTTTGCATATCATTTTTCTTGGTTGACTCCCACACAGCCACTCATTCTATTGCATGTTATTCACCCCCAAAGGCTCTCATAGCAAATTATTACACAAGTGGATTTTCCATATAAATCTCATATTGAGCACAGGAAATGTATGCTCAATATGCATACCTGTTGCACTCTGGTCTGAGTTCACCTTTGCACCACAGAAGAGACCAGTATCACTAACTAAACAGTTTATTGAAAAAAGTCAACATCAAAAGCAAATACAATACAATAAACCACTTTGACCCCCCCCCCCCCCCCCCGGAGTGAGAAAAGTGGTATATAAATAGAGTAAATAAATAAAAAAAGTCCCAGAAAGCAATAGGACAAAAGGCTATTAAAAGGCAATAGTCCATCCATCCGAGTTCTGTTCCAGAAGGGACACATTACATGGAAAAACAGGAGTCAAAACATAAGCAGGAACCATAACCAGGAAGACAGAAACTTCTTCCAAAACATGAATCCATGAACATGAGCAATAACTTTCCCAAAGAACTTAAACATAGACTTGAGTGTGAAACAAGACCAAGGTGTACACGGTAACACAACGTTGCCTGCTCTAACCCTTTTAGTTAGTTTTGGAGCACAAAACTCCTGACCTCACAATTGTGGGAAAAAAATAAAGTGTGGATCTTTGATGTTGCAATCCCAGATGACAGCAGAATTGACAAGAAGCAACTGGAAAAGCTTTCACGATATGAGGATTTAAAGATCGAATAGCAAAGACTCTGGCACAAGCTGGTAAAGGTAGTCCTAGTGGTGATCAGCACATTGAGTTCCATGCCTAAAGACCTTGGCCCGCACTTTAAAACAATCTGTTCTGACAAAATTACCCTCTGTCAGCTGGAAAAGGCCACCCTATTTGGATCTGCATGCATTATTCGTCGATACATCACACAGTCCTAGACACTTGGGAAGTGTCTGACATGTAATCGAATACAAAAGCCAGCATAGTGATCTTGTTTGCTTTGTACCAATCTTGTTGTGTATCAAATAATAATAGTAGTAGTAGTAGTAGTAGTAGGAGCAACCCAGGGTCCATCTAGTCCAACCTCCTTCTGCCTTGCAGGAAAAGCATAGTCAAAGCACCCTCAACAGATAGCCATTCAGCCTTTGCAATAATAATAATAATAATAATAATAATAATAATAATAATAATAATAATAGGAGCAACCCAAGGGCCATCCAGTCCTTCTGCCTTGCA